CACACACACACACACACACACACACACACACACACACACACACACACACACACACACACACACACACACACACACACACACACACACACACATATTTCTCCTGCATTACTTTTCTCATATATCACGCGTAAAAAAATTTTCCGAATTCTCTTCCCGGAATTCGACGAATGATGTGGTTCGCGACGACAGCATCTCTCTTGAAGATGCTTTCGATCGATCTTTGCTTAGAGGGAAAGGAGCGATACTTTGACGATCAACTGGTCACAAAATTCGACAATACGTCTCGACGGAAAAAGTTGTGTCGACGCCATTTGTCACAATCGCAAACGCCTCCGTTACATTCATCGTTGAAAAGGAATAAAATCTTGTGGATCATAATCGAAGGGTGCTCACCGTGTTGGCGATCGTCCGTGTTTTCAAACAGAAGACGGGTTTCCTCGACGGACTCCATCCCGGTCCATCCCGTCGCGTCAGTGCCGTCACGTCCGAGCGAAGTGTTACTCTCCACTTCTTCCATCCCAATATTATTCCGAAACGTTTTTTGACTAATCCACTGAGCACCACAGCCATGCGTTACGCGACGCGGGAAGCCGCAGTATTGCCAACTTATCAGCCGCTCACTCTTAAAGACACATGCCTAACACACGCAACGTCGCCCTGCCGAAAGTGATGTAGACCCCTCCGTTCGAAAATGTCGTCCTACTATGAATTTAGATTTGTCTGTCGTAGTGAAGTATCGCGTGCCGACTTCAGTACCGATTATCAAATTCGGAAACGCCATTTGTCACGCGACAATTACAAAATAAATTAAAATTAAGTGAAATTTAAATTTAAATTACTGAGGCAATAAACTCGGAGCAACAAACTGGAGTAGTAGACTCCGCGTTCTTTACTGGACGAAAACGGAAATAGGAAACTCTGTTTTGATTCGTTGTTAAACGCGTTACTTGTAGACTTGTACCTCTTTACTTTTTTCCTGGTCGCAATTCGCCCGAGGGCAATAATATTCGATCCGCTTTAAGCTTCGCCCCAGAAAGATGCGTTGTATCATTTATTAGGGGCGGTCGAGAGCAATAATAATTAATTAGCCAATAAACTATTCACTTGCGACATTCTCGCCGTCTCTGCCTTTCCGCGGGAAGTTCGTCCGGTCGGTGTTAAATACGGAGCATCGAATCGTATTTCGTCTCTCTCAAGTAAAGTGGCTTCGAGAAATTAACGAAATCGGAGAAACGCGGGAGTGGAGTAGCGGTTGAACGTTTTCCTTGCCACTACGAATGAGATGTTATTAGTACGACGAACACGATCACGCATTTAAGGTTATCGCCGTCGCGCATATCGCGTTGACTAGCACACATATCAGCTTGGAAAATACGAGAAGGGCGCGAACAGTGGAGACCCTGTTACGACGCGATCACGTGATCGAAGCGCCGAGAACGACGCGAATATGAAAATCTTTGCGCCGGAGAATTTTGAATAATTACGTGATTCCAGCGAATGAGCCTCTTAACTCCTGTAATTGGGATAATTACATTGAAACAATTACGCGTCTATATTTATCATCGACTATACTGTGCCAGAATTCGCCGTTTTGTTCGTTTCACATTATTCACGATTATTACGTCTTTCGTAATAGAGAATCTATCTTAAATTATTATTGTTCCTAAACTCCTTTTTATTAAGTATGATAATCTTTTTTTTTTCTTTCATTAAAGTTTACAGAATGGATGAATTGCACGACGTAAATAGCACTTGCGAATGAACGTGGAGAAAAAAAGAAGCAACAAGCGTAATCAAAGACTTTACGCAATAATGTCTATTTATAAGTTAGGATAATTATAGGTAAGCGTAAATGTGTTGTCTATCGGAAATCTACTTGCAAAATTTGTATGCGGATTGATTGAATACAAATCTATTTTTTGAATTCTAATAAAAATATGTGAGATGAAAAAATATTGGAGCTAGAGAAAGAGAGAGAGAGAGAGAGAGAGAGAGAGAGAGAGAGAGAGAGAGAGAGAGAGAGAGAAGAAGTAAGTAAGTAAG